ACGGTGACGTCCACTATCACGTGGAGCGTCTTGTTGGACGACGTCGTCACCAGGGTCAGACCCAATATCTGGTGAAGTGGGGGGATATCCCGACTCCGAAAACTCGTGGGAGTTTGAGATGCCACTTCGGCAAGATTGCCCAGAGGCCGTGGACGCTTTTGATCAGAAAGATCAGAACACCCCGCGCTTCCCGGCAATAGCCAGAGAAGTAGAAGGGCCATGAGCTGAGCTCAAGCGGTGGCTCTGAGCTCTCGCGGTCGCAGACACAAAGCTCGCGGGAGCGTTAGGGGTTGACCCATACGTCGCAGGGCGACAATCTCTAGAGAGTCGACGGCGTGCTTTTAGTTTGGCAAACTCTAATCGGAGGTGTCGCTCCACACGCACGCCCACTTCCTTGTGGCTCGACTGTAAGACATACAGTGAGGAAAATTTTCGGTGCCGTTGCACCCATCCCCTAAAGAGCGCTTCGCCATCTATAGCGCTTTCGCCTGGGGCGAGTATTACAGCTATCGTCCGCACACGAGAGCATCTTCGTTAAGCACGTAGACGAGTGTGATAAGCGTCCAGCGGAAATTCTTGTGAAACCAAGAAACGAGCTCGAAGGGCTTTTTGTTCGGCAAACCCAACTTCCGTAATGACCGGAGCCCCGATGATGTGGATGCGTAACGATCGAATTACCGCGTCTTTCGCTTCCAGAGCGGGATCCGCCGGGCGGAAGCCATATTCCACACGAGGGTCAATGACTGACCGTGGATTGGCGCGCCTCAGAGCCGTATTACAAGCATTACGAGCAGCTACAAGCTGCCGCCTCTGAGCCCCGTCGAAGTCATTGATGATGACACCACGTCCCTCAGGTGATGAGAGGTAAGGAAACGGACATAGGGTCCGCAAGACGCAAGCAGGGCTCGTCTCACGCAGCTGGCGCGGCTCGCCTTCCTCGTCATTCCACCCGGAAAAAGGAGTGTCAGACTCGTAGTCGACCATCATCACATCCAAAACGAGGTCACTCGTCACTATTAGCGTGCGCGGAGCGCGACGCTCGGGCTCATCAAGCTTAGGATTTACATCCCTCGATGCCGCGGACACACGGTCCAACATGGCACCGCGTGCGGAAGACAAAGTTGGGCTCTGCCCGTGAGCGCTGTCGGAATCAGCGAGACTTGGATACTTCGGTGTCATTGACACAGGGCTCATTGAGCACGGAAGTCGTTTCGTTCCAACGCAGTGTATAACGGACACGCAAGCCTCGTTGAGGCAATATTCGATTGGAACTGTAAATGTTCCCATTTTTAATGGGGGGAGTGTAACGGGGTTACACATACTCTGGTAACAGGGGGGGTCACACCAGATGGGCATGGTGTGACCACACCCAAACAAGAATAAGGTACGAGGCTGGATAGCCATAGTCATACATGTATTTGGATTTTACTATACATATTTGAGAAAATCGATGCATTAAATTAGGCGGCTTTGCCGCAGATAAAATATATAAAGTCAGTTTTGACTTTGAACCGAAGAGTTAATCAGCCTTAGGGATAAGGTTGTAAATACTTTTAAAGTAAGCGGATTGCGATCCGCTAAACTCGTACTTGATCTGAGTATAGAACGAGAGGTCGGTGACCTAACTTACACTTCCTCTAAGCGCAAAGCTACGGCAGCCTCGCTGCATAACCGATGCAATAATCACTTGCATCGCTAAACCACATGAAAAGGCTTATCGTGGTTCCCAATCGCGATAACGGGAGCTTCTATCAACTCCATTTTTTTTACTTCGGCAAATACCGCCTGGTGATCTTTTGACCATCTTGGCTCAACGTATTTCTTTGAACGAGTCGTTAGGGATAGCATAACGCTGCATGACTGCGTGTGTATTTGTGCAATGGCTGGCTAAGACCAACCATTGGCTCCGCTGTTTCACATTAAATGGCACAGGCCGGTCATAAATAGCTTTGTTAGTCTCTGGATCTACTTTTTGCTCACATAACAGCCGAAAACGGGGATCTCAAGTGCATAAAATGCAGTTTTTCAGATTAGCGTTTTATTCTCTCGCATAGTTTGGAAGACTGGCCGAAGATGAACAAAATGAACATCGACATCAGATTTCTTACCCGATTTCTTAATATATCACCAAAGTAACTCGGTGCAAACTCTATTAATGGACGAAGAAGATTCGTGAATGACTGCAGTCAGTGGTATATCATTTTCGCGCATTTGTATCTGATAGACAGATTGATTGCACAAAAATCGTACTACCAACCATTCCATCAAGGATCATATCCATGCGTGGAGCCGGAGCCTGGGCAGGTATGAGGAAGCATGTCAACCTTATGACGAATGCCTCTGTCAGATAGCAATTCTTTCGACACCTTGTCCGGGAATATATCTGCGTGAACCTTGACAGGTCTAAACACGATTTGAGCCTAGAGCATCCCACGACTGCTCATCAAACTTTTCTTTCGTGTTTTCTCATCGAATACTTCCGCATTATTGATGTCAGCGTCAATAGTTTCTTCGACGATCGCACATATTTGCGAAATTTTTGCCTTTTGCCAGGCTCCGCTTCAGCGGTTTCTTTCTCAGGAACAGCAAGGAAAGTAAAAAATTGATCGAACTTGGGGGATTTTCAATCTACACGTGACGGAGCTCGCTCGATGCGTCTTACTTTTGAACATTTCCTTCATCAATACAACTTGTACCTTAGTAAGAAGCACGCAAAATATTTGACGGAAACCTTCTTGGTGGCCTTCTGATTATTCTCTGACCATGACTATTGCTTCGATAGCAAAGGAGACAGTCTTTTCTGGCGCTTGACTGCTCCCCTCCAGTTGGTGTATTTACTTTCGTCTTCTTGGGCTTGTCCCGTAACGGGGTTTACGTGTCCTGGTATGAAGGGTGTGGGAAGTATCAGGCAGCATGACAGTCAAATGTAAGTTACTTTGAAACTCGTAGAGAAGGTCACAATTGAAAAGACGGGGAGGGTTATTCAGATCTCAAGACGAGATATATACTAATCGACACCGTCAACACCGTTGTACAGGCTAATACAGTCCTCATACATGTAGAGAGCGATTTCTCTGTAGCTAGTTCACCCGTAAGCGGTATCCTGAAAATTTGTGTCACGTGAGGCAGAACGCTCTCAAACAAGGTCCGCGTTAGCAAATGTACAGTGATCTAATTCAATGGGTGCCCCTCCAGAGAAAAGATTATTGCAAATCTCAAGTAATCTGCGCGCAGTCCACCAGGGTTCTAATGAAGTTTTGTCAGCACCGATGGGCGAATACCCTTATATAAGTGCATACACTCGCGAACAGACCAATGCTCGATATTAATATTCACATCAAGCTTTCCAGGCTTCACACGACTTTAGACGGATAAATCTTCAAAATGGGCCTGTGTGAATAAAAAATACAGCTGCATTTTGCTCTGTCACCAGTCAATTGAACATCGTTGGTGAACTTGACAGCACCTGGAGCGTAGCAACCCACATCCAGAGCGGCAGATCGGGAAAATACAAATAATAGAACTAAATCTCGTGAGCATTCGATAGTACCTCCTATGAACCACTGTATACGGTACACGCAATCGCGTTGTTCACGCAAAATATAACGTCGTTCTTTGGTGTTAGGCCAGCATTAAGGCTATACCCAGCTTAATGGAATAATACATAATTTACTACTTTTTGTTAGCCTTTCTGAATCAGAATGTTTGCATCCAATGGGTAAATAATGCATGTTTCACAAATTCACGTCGCGCTTCGCACTATTCGAGGCTTCGCTGAAGTCAAATACTTCCCTTGGTGTCGGCCATTGATATGTCGAGCAGCTTTTCTTTCGATTTTAGGTCCGTGTCGCTACAAACTTACTCGATTTTGGGTGGCAGGTGTCATGTCATAACTCCTTGGTATTTCTCTGAATAAGTATGAAGGGGTCCGCAAAATCCTTGAGTATCACTGGTTTGTCTCTCGCACTCAATTTTAAAAGTTCTAGTCATTGTTTTATTCGTGGCGCTTGCTGGGCCCAAACCTTCCTCCGCTACAAATCGTAAGAGCTCGGTGGCATCCCTGCCTAACAGCTACTCATCCAGGATTAATTAAACATCTCCTCAAGGGTGCTTCTTCCTATCACAGCACGGGTCAAATAGTACCATTTGATTACCAAAGTCACTCTAAAGACGGCTGATACACTTGTTTGTGCACATTCGTGAAGTTTTAATCTTGATGATGGGGTAGTCATGCATCATTCATAGAGAAAGGTTGATGCAGGACAGAACTTGGACTCGAACGCTCCACCCAGGAGCAGAATCGAAAGTCTATAGAGTAAACTAAGCACTTTGTTTGCCGTGCTGATTTGATTAATATATTTATAGGATGAAATACATGCTTACTGCATCAATAATAGAACGGTCGTTATTTCTCGACGCAATTTTGTAATATCACGTCTCTTTCACGGAGTGACATCATCTTCACAGTACTGGCGCTTTATAACTCTGAATATTTTTAATTTTTTTTTACAAAAGGTCAAGGTCGTAAAACATTATATTTATACAATTGTGTGAAAGTGTAAGGTAACACATTCAGTCTTGCACTAGGTACCCTGTAACTTGTACAGTAAACATCCGTATCGACATCAAGGTTTGGTCGTTCTATTCGCGACTTATGGTCGCCAGTATCCACGTGGATTGTCTGGAAAACGGGCTCTGATTTGTCTTCACAGGGTCTGGAGATTGCGATACCAGTAGTGAAATTCGTCCTATATCTTACGTCCTATAATTTTAGCTCTTTTATAGCGCATTAAGATAGCTTGGCAGCTCAACTGCTCCATAGGTTTTTCCTATTCCGTTTAACAACACTTCTATCTAGCAACTCGTACGAATCATGATGCTCCATCATGAGCATTACTTTCTATAAATGTACAATAAAGCATTTTTCGCTTTACGGGATAACTCTTCTCCATTCGTCAAGCGAAATGAGCTCTGGTGGAATATCCAAAAGTTGAGGGTTTTGAAAGTTGAAAACTCTCGTGACCGTGAACGGCTAATATTCATGTAAAAACAGCAATGCTTATCATGTTTTTGGAGGACCTCTTACGGTGTGGCTTGCACCGAGCCTCCCGCGTCCCCATTAATATCCTTTAAGGAAAAATGAGTGTTGCATTGAATACTTTCAACTTTCGAGCCGCAATCATCGTATCTTGCTCGGGGAAACCAAGTTGCCAGATTGTCATTCGAACCATCAAACGATTTTCATTCGCTGTTCGACAGTTCAATGCTAATCGGATGATAAAAGTTGATGTACCAGAAAGTGCTAGCTAGATTGAGATACTTCTGCAAGAGGATAACAGCTCTGACAAAGTCTGCAGCATTTTTATGGATCCAAAAACAAATTGCTATAGCTTGTCATTCATGGTAAAATACTATACACAGCGCTTACCTTCCGGGTCGTGACACACATTAAAGTATGGGTGAGCGAGTGTTCGAGCGGATGCAGGAGTTGTGTCCGTGATGTGAAGTAGAGTTAGTCAATCATATTTCATGCAGTACGCTCAGTTATGTAAAGGTATTTAAAGCAGTAAAAGGGCATTGCTTATCAAGCCCCAATGAAATCCTATGCGCTCTCTCAGACTCTAGTGATCTCTGGATAGTCTCTGGTACGGTGTCGCATCGCGGGTACTGAGTTCTTTCTCTTGTACATACTCTCAATCCTTGGTTAAACATTGTAATCTTGTCTCGCTCCGTCATGTCTGTAATTTGCGTGCATATTCGTCGAGATTTTCCAATGTAGTCTAACAAGTATTTTTAATTCTTCTGATTCAAACTTAACAATTGGTCACTCAATCGATCTTGCAAATCTGCAGGCTTGAATTATCGTTTGACTTTTTACTCAAACTCTACGAGAGATTTTGACAGTACTCCCGTTTCAAAACACGGTATTGGTACGATGCGGCCGCAAAGTCTTCTTATATTTACAGCCATAACTGACAGGCATCTCTGCTCCATTTCTTCCCAAAATAGGTGATGACTTGATGGATGTACAATTCGGCACTCTTCTCCATCCTTCCATCAAACTTTGGTATCGACAGCCCCTCAGCTTTCATCTTCGCTCTTCGCCCTGATCCGCGGTCCGCTAGAGGTTGTTGCATCACCGCTTGGGCGCCGGACTTGCTTGCCAGGGCTTTTAAAAATCTTGAAGCATTTGTTGCTTCTGCTCCATTGCATGCACCAATGAGGAAATGCTTGTTCCATTTTGTGCGTTCCATATTACGTCTAAAATCGAATATCTACCCCAACTAAAGCGTCTTGGTTCCTGCTATTAAAAACATACCTCTCACAAAATCCACTCATCCAAGATTCTCACTTTAAGCGAACCCAGTGTTCAGTAGGCCGCGAGGCCATGATCACAATGAGGGAAGGTGAAAGGGGGCAATAACAGGTTATCAATATAGCAGGAGATTCGGCTTTAGACCAACAAGTGCTACCAAATTTAATAGGACCGACTTGTTATTACTTGTTTGCGCTGTTGTGTTTGAAAAAAGAATTATGGGGTATTTGGCAGAACTAAAAGTGTATTTATAATTAAAAAGGCAACTGCACAAAAGTTTAATCCTTCAATTGTTCTTTGTTTTTAATTTTTTCATTATTATCTTATCGGGTGGAAAGCGTCTTGTCACATATGTTCTAGAGTAAATTCGTTGCATTCAGCTCCAAATGCAACAATATAAATTCAAGACATCATTCGTTACAGGCAAAGCTTGGTAACTAGTTGATCCACAGGCTCTCGGTCGCGTTCCCGAGTGGAGCGTAATCCGACCGTTGTGCGTTGTATACGCGGACTGTTTCAGTCGAAGCATCCTGAGCACAAAGTGCACAAAATCCCTGTTGCATGGACTCTAAGTCAAAGCATTCTCTATGCAAGATGCAGCGTGACCCTGTTGCAGAGCGTCCCAAAACGATCGATCAGACATCCCGACCATCGGGCCGTCATTGTGCTATCCTCAGTGGATTAACAACAGATAGAAGATTATTAAGTATGTCTTGTTGTCTCGAGATGAGATAAGTGAACATTGAATGTTTCATCCTTTCAGAAAACGCAAATTTATCAAGATTCGGTCGTCAGAGAGACGACAAGTGCTAACTGGTCTCTGCAGCGTGGCAACCGTAGCTTTTTGCTTAGAGGAAGCTTACCGACCTTACTTTCTATACCATAACCAGTACCAGTGTAGCGGATCGCAATCCAATACCCCAAAGAGTACTTGAAAACCTTAACCAAGGCAAATACGCGCTTCCGTTTATAGTAAAGTCTGTATTTAATTGTTTTATTTGCTGCGCTTTCCTGATTGAATATCAAAAACTGATAAATATGCATAACTACTATCAGCCCCGCCACGTAGTGGCTTCTTGTTACGGTTTAGACACACCATTGTATAATTACACCGACTTGTGTAATCAACACCTTTGTAAGGTCACGCCACCTTGTGTGACCCACCCCTTCATATCAGGGATCGTGTAACCCCGTTACAGTCTCCATGCCGCCCATCCTACTCGTAGCTGGGTGTGTACGCCTTGCCACTCCTCATTCTCGAGGTATGGCGACATGAAAAGCCCAAATTTCAATGCTCGTCTTGTTTTGGCAAGCTATGATCGTTTGTTTTGAAATTTCAGAAAAGGTGCTTTTGAAAAGTACGTCTGGTCTTACTACCAATTCTCTGACGTTTCTACTTAGAACCGGTAATGTCAACTGGCATAAAAACGAGTCCTCCACTAGTACTTATCACATACTTTCTGACTAAAGGGCAGCGTTTCTAATTTAGTGATGTAGAGAAACGTGCACAAATCCTGAAAAATTTCAAAAGTGCATGCGTTGTTGGTATTGTGCACACGCAAGTCTGTCGCGAAATGCGGAGCTGCGCACCCGAGCTACACCTTTCAGCTGCACTACCGAGTGCGCCCGTACTTCTCAAGGCCAGGCTATTGTTAACATTTCTCCATCTTCTCAAACACCAAGCGTTGATGTTGATGCTGCATCTACCATGTGGCTTCAAGTGACACACCAGGACGCAGCGATAGGCGTAGCGGAAAGAATTTATGTGCTGACCACGCTCCCCCATAACACACCCCTGGTTTTACCTTGGGTACCGAAGGTGCTTTCTAGCTGCTGCAAGTTGACAAATTCATCCGCGACGCTATGTGACGGTCATCAGAAGTTAGCGCAGTGCTTAGGCCCGGTGGAAGCTGTCAAATTTTTCTACCGCATAGTGGAAGTGAAAAAAAATAGCTACCAACTATTCCAACCAGTGCACCAAAGTCTATGGGTCAATAAGAAGGACTTGCACTCTCTGTGTACTTGGCTGAAGCATGTTAAGTGCAGTAGTACGTGCTGTGAGTGGGATGGCCAGACACTAAGAGCTGATACACTTTATCTCATGTATGCACAGACCCGCATGCTTGTTATAAATTATGTGATCAACTGCCAGATTACACGTTGAATAAGGCGCGGACTGTTGGACTATTGAATCGAGAAGGGACGGTGGCCAACATGCGAGGAGGAAGTTGGCTGCGGATTGTTGATTGCAAAGCTGAAAGGGCACGGATGATGTGCCGAATAGATAATTTCGCATTTCTTCAAATATGGCCCACTAAGTGCTCTATCTCTGTGGGCAATCGTAGCGTAGCTGAAGTCATTTTCGGAGAAAACGACGAGAGTTGTAAGATGTTCACGTTTGTATTTATATTTGCCAACGCGTTTGGATCAAATCACGCTGTTCACGAAAAAGTGGTTGAGCAAATTGACCATGTGCGGAATGATCGATGTCAACTCGTACCTTTCGAAGAGCATGTGGACAAGAGTACTCTGTCCAACCAATACAACCTTTGTCTCGCAAATAATGTAGCATGCAGCCTAGGAGTGGACAGTAAGCCTCTTAATGTCGATCACGGACTCAATTTTCTGGCCATAAATGAAGTATCGGATCAAAGTGCTGGCGAAGTCGACTGTGAGCCCAAAGCGGTAGACATGGAGGCTGTGCTTATGCGAGATGAGGACAAACTACATTTTTGTGTACATTTGACCGAAAAAGCGCAGACCGGTGGCAGTGACATACTTGTAAACGCTGGAGACAAAGCTGATGTGCTTAATAGCGATAGAGCTTATTCTGTCTGTGTTCGAGCTGGAGATCTCAAGTCAAATGGTGACTACTTAGGTCACTCACACGTTTGGAACGATCGATGTCACGATAAACGTATCGAAGAGTATGCTGCCATATATGCATTATCTTGCGATGACCACCTTGGCACAGAGAATGGTGTAAAAACTAACGCGGAAGTGAAGACTGAGCCCGTTGACGTTGATAAACTGCGGAACAACTGGCTATCTCGTTCAGCTGTGAAGGCAGCATCAAGTGAAGGAGTTGACAATGTTGACTGTGACCATAAAACGGTGAACATAAAGGCTGTGTTTATGCGAGAAGAGGACACATTACGTTTGTGTACACAAGCTATCAAAAAAGCGCCGATCGGTGGCAGTGGCATATATGCTAACGCTGGAGAAAAAGCTGATGTGCTCCATACCAATTGTGCTTATTCTGACTATGTTCAAGCTGTAGATTCTCAGTCAAGTGATGACTCCTCAGGCCACTCTCTAGCTAAAAACATGGCGGTAGGTCTAAACATCTACGTTTGGAACGATCAATGTCACGATATACAAACAGAAGAATATACTGCCATAAATGCCCTATCCTTTGATGACCACCTTGGCACAGCGGATGTTGTAAGAGACAACGAAGAAACCGCTGACGTTGATAACCTATGGGACAATCGAATCATCAGTCCAATTTTGCCCACGGAAAGGGTTGGCAATATCAGCTGTGGTCTCAATGAAGTTGGCATGAATGATATGCTCTTGAGAGAAGAAGACAAAGTCATTTTTGGTGTATACACGCCAGAGTTATCACAGATCAAAAGAATCGATAAATGTTTAGATGCTGAGGTTATTGACGTCGTTGGTCGGGAAGGTCCGGCGAACTTTTGTGATAGAGCTGATTCGATCTGTCTACGTGAGCGAGATACAGTATCACCAGTGTCAATCACTGAATCGTCAGGTCATTCGTGTGGTGTTAATTGTTGCGCCGATTGGAAAGCAGAACTAAGTATAGAGACCGAAGCTAGTGACATTGCTGTTCTTAGTAGCCTGGATGACACATTTGATTCTGTCGACGAACTCATATTAAATGAAGAAGCGGGCAAATGTGAAGTCGCTAATACTAAAACACGCAGGCTTAATACGTGCAGTATTAATGACTGCGGATCACACTGCTTGCCAGTAAAAGTGAAGCCTGGTGGCAGCGAGGCACCTCGTGCAGAGTTTCAATTTTATAAGTTAGGTGTTGTCGAATATTGTGTGCGGAAGCGAGCTCAATATCCACCACATGATACATTGTCTCAGGCACTATTCAGCGCAGATCAAGATAATGCAGATCTCGTTTTTGAAGCTCTATTGAGCGACGATCCTCTCTCCGATGAATGGCTTCACGACGTCGTGTCAAAAAATGATTTAGATAAAACAAGTGAGTCAAGTGAGATACTGGCACAAATTCGCGCAAGCAACGACACATATACATTGATCATGGACGATAAAGCGCCGGAAGCAATTTTGGAATCAAGCCTACACGACGACGAAGTCGGATATTATGATCTAGTCAGCTCATTTGAGTACCCAGTTCCTAGACGTAGGCATGGCAATATCTACATCGGACAGGTGTCCCCACCATCGAGTCCACGCTATTTCCAATTTGCGGGTACGAAAGATCACTTTGGATATTATGTGAAAGCTCGCGCGCGTCCCCAATCGTTCGTATCGATGTCTATGCCAGCAGTATCTTCAGGGCAAGCTCAACAAAAGACTACATTATCCTCAAGCGGTATCGCAAAGCCTGCGAGTGCGTTGACCCGTCCACGGTCATTTGTTCGTAGCCACGTTATGTGAGACTTGACTAGATGGCATCTCCATCGTTTGACCTGCAGCTGAATGCCCTCCCCACTTTGATCAAATTTCTAGTCGGCAAAATCAACCATTATCAGCGGATACAAGTGCTAACGCCGCGATTGGAGCGGTTATTAAAGCAATAAATGTTTAATGTATCCTGCTATTTACGGCAAAGCGATTGTTGCTTGTCTTATGCTGATGATATCTCTTGATAAGGCGTATATTATAGTCAGATGTATAGGTAGTTGATTTGCATTAAAATAGGGAGGCGAACGCAACACATCTTAGTTCTGCACGCGGTACGGGATGTTCCTGTCTTCAAGAAAGCGCTTAATAGAGTCAGGTAATTCCCCCGAAACTGATACGGCATATATTCCTGGAATCGAGCGGACTGCACACAACAAAAGTCAGCAAATTTTTTAATATTTACGTGACTATAACGCGACGCACCGATGCGTTGCCATTTGGCAACCCAGCTCTCCTTGGGCTGCATCATCGCAATCATGCTAGTATTAATAATACACCAGCATATGTCGTTATAATCTTTATCTATACAAGATAGAAAATTTGAGTACCCTTCGAAGTAGGCAGACGTGCACTCGGCCACCCGCTGACGATTGTCAGCCATCTGCAAGAATGCACAATTTTCGCAGCCCGTATCATAGAACTGCGTAAAAGTCTTCACTAGAGAGCATGTCATGCAGGCACGGAGTTCCCGGAAGGTGTTGGGAATGTCAGCGTGTTGAAAGCTCTCATCCAACTCCTCGTCTTCCTCGTCCCGCATTCGATTCATCACTCGTAACAGATTTTTTTGTCCACAGAAAGTTAGATAAGTGTAAAAGGATTTATTTTATTTATTAATGAAGCATGTGCATTAATTGTACTCAAAATAACGATATCACACTTATCAGTCCAAACATAACCAATATAAGGAAACTCGAGTTGTCAAGTTGGATCTTAATCTCCGAAAACCGTTTTTCGTTCATATCTAAAAAGCATAGGATCGGGGTTTACTGCACACAGCTTCAAACATATTTCAGACAGTTGGCTGTAACGCGCCCGAAGCTGTTTCCCCCTACCTGAAAATCAGGTCTAAGGGCGAACACAATATTTTCAAATGTTTCATTACTTACCTTCCTTTCGAGTCTATCTTGCATTTTGATAGTCTCAAATAGTTAGCCCTCTCGAAATACATTTCATGTTATAAAGGGCATATGTTATACTTAGTAGTTAATAGCGAGTGGAGTAGAAACAATTCTGGAATCTTTTCTGGCTCCGATGGCAAGTAGGTACGGCGACGAGTTTCGTGGACGCGGTCGAGACCGTAGTAGGGACCGTGGTTATGGTGGAGCGGGAGGTGATAGGGGGTACGGAGCTCGATCAG